AAGTGAAAACAGCCGCTGAGTCATTTCCCTGCAAACCCGAAATGACCGTGAGTGTCACCTACAGAAGCTGCGAAGGAGCATTTCCCAGGCCTGGCTCAGCAGCCCGTGTCGGCAGAGAATTCGGCCCGACGCGACGCTGACGCGAGTCTGTTGCGATCTCGGGAGCCGCTTCCGCTTCTCTGCTCACGTGGGTCAGTCTCCCCGCGCGTCAGCGGCGCAGTTGCCTAGTTTCCCTGTCTACGCCCCCCGCCGCACACACCCGCCCGCCCGCCGTCCCTCCACTTTCTTCTCCTTCTCTTCATTGTGAATTCGGAAGAAAACGGGGGTGGTCCCCCCCGGGGAGGATGCAAGTAGGAAGGAGGGGTAGTGCACTCATCCCGAGTTCCTTACCCTGAGCATCCCGTCAGCGGGGCGGACACGGTTGCTCAGCCCCTGGTTGTAAAGCTGTTGGGACGTCGCTGCCTCTGAACCTTTTTCAGGGAGGTGCTGCGCTACTCACCGAAGAGCTCAGGCTTGGACTTGACCGACTGGTTGATGACTGTCATTCAGCTCCCCGTGCCTCAGTTTCCTTATTTATAAAGTGGGGGTTATAATAACGCCTGTCCTAACAGAGTCGTTGTATTAAATGCGTTTAAGTATAAGGCGCCTTTCACAGCTTTTGGTGCGGTTGAAGTAGTCCATAAATTACCCTATAGAATTAGGAACAGCTGTTCAGTTATTCTACACTGACATGATTTAGGTTGTCTGCAAACCTCAAGTTCCAATAATGACTTGTTTTCCAAGAGTAGTGCTTACAGTCAGAGAATCTGTGCCAAGTAAAATGACAAGGAAAGACTGTTGGCAGATTTTTTTTTTCTTTTGTTTTAAAGGAAGTGTCAATAATTTAGCTTAATTAAGTAATTGTTTTGCAAACACTGTTATCTTAATGAATGCTGGGTAAGTTCTAAGAGCAAAACTCTTTCACTTTTCCCAGTGGAAGGGCACTCTTGGGTTTTTTGACATTTTGCTTGTTTTTTCACATGCATTTAAAAAAAAAAAAAGACTCCCCCTTGAAAAACTGATTTATTGTATTATCAGTTTCAAAAACAAAACCATATCAAAACTCGAGTTCTTTAGCACTGTCTTTACTTTGCATTTGTTCCCTTAGGTAGCTGTGTTTAGGAGGACTGCGTTTGCGCTTTCTTTTTTATAATGTCAGTGGTGACCTAGAAGAATTGCAGGGTGTGTGTCATAGGTCTTCAGTTTAGGCCTTTTGATTTCACGCACCAATTTCTGCCTTGGTATTTGCCATTTATGTTTGTGAGTTGTAGTCACAGTTGGTTTCTTGAGTTCACCTAGTCTCTCTTGAAAACAAGAGGGATTTTTTTTGAAGGTTTTTTTTTTCTTTATACTTTTAATAACTTGGGGTTCCCCTTTTCACATACAAGTTGTTTTTTTTTTTAAGATTTTATTTATTTATTTGACAGACAGAGATCACAAGTAGGCAGAGAAGCAGGCAGAGAGAGGAGGAAGCAGGCTCCCGGCCGAGCAGAGAGCCCGATGTGGGGCTTGATCCCAGGACCCTGAGATCATGATCAGAGCCAAAGGCAGAGGCTTTAGCCCACTGAGCCACCCAGGCGCCCCGTTTCTCATACAAGTTTTAAGCTGTTAACACTTCGTGAAAATTGGAAACAGAGAATCTGGAAGTTGGGAACCTCTTGTACAGAATATCTAGATACCTAGGTGGTGACAGATTCATTTTGTAATACCGTATTTACATATTTGAATTGCTTTGTTTCTGTTATTGTTAAGTCATTTGAGCTAGTTAAGAAAAAAAGTGTTTAATTTTCATATTTTACAAGAAGACTTATACTGTAACAGTCTTACATAAACAAAGGTACTTTTTATGTATATATTGAATATATGTAAATAGATACTACAACTTTAAATCAGACCTTGATAAACGTCATCACTTTCTACATTCACTGTTGTTAGACTTTAGCTTGAGGAATGCATTTAGTCCAGAGATGACACATAACTTCCTCAGATCTCCAGAGTAATTCTTTTGGTTTTACGGCTGCCCCACGAAGAGGCCCGATTCGTCTGTAACTGCGCTTTTAAATAAAAATCTCTGTTTAAGGAAGACAGCAAGGCAGAATCTAGTTGTGTGTTGTAGGGAGTTAGTGTATCTTTGGTGTCTAGAACCTGTTTGGTTCCTATTATTCTTTGAAAAATAAAATTCTTTTCTAAGCTGTTCTCCTAGACAATGGAAGTGCGTGCCAAGAGATACCCCCACTTCTTGGGTCAGGAGTAGGCAGGAAGGGAAGTTTGGTTTCTTCTCCTTTAGCCTTGATGGGCCTTTGGGGGATGCTGACGGACTCTTGACAGACTGCCTCAAGGTCCTTTCTGCTTAGATTCTGACCTTGAGATGCAGAAATCTGTCCTTTGCTCCTTGGTTGCTCTAAGAGCAGAGGGTCATGGGTCACTGTTGACAGGGGACTATTCAAATTTCTCTCAAGGAGCTCCTGTATGTCTTTGCTGTACTCCTTGAATTTGTTAAGGTGATTTTTTTTTTTTTCTTTTTTTAACTGCCCATGATGTCGATGGCTGCCTCATAGCATCCTAGAAGATTCTTTTCACTTCTGATTGGGAGCCCTTTTGCAGAGACTGCCATTAGGATCATTGTCCGAGAACCCCCTGGGCGTGTCTCCAGTTTTGCTGGTTAGGAGATGTGTGCTGTGGGAGCTCTCAACCGTGCTGTTCCCGGGAACTTTGAGCGTTTCCATTCATGGTCATTTGCACTTAGTCTGTATCCCCCCACTGGCAATGTTGGTTTTCAGCGAGATGCCACTGTTCAGACCGCGAGTGCGTCCATAATATCTTTCTCTTATTTGCTAGGCAGAAGATGGTGTTAGTGATTGCGAGCTGCCGGCTGGCACCCTTGCAGAGCAGGAGTAAGTGAGTGCTGTTCAGCTTCCGGTCCTGTGAGTCTGATGCCTTTCCTCCATGTTTTGGCATCACTGCCGAACACATGCATTGAAATTCCTTCATGATCATCAGTTTGTCAGATGATTATATTGTTGCAAAGAGTCTGTCCAGGTCCTTTGTATCTTTTTTTTTTTGTCACCTTAGTGTATGTCCATCGTGATGGGGACAGAGGCATTGATGTTGGAAGAAGGCACAACTGTATCAAGGCAAGACTAGCGACGTTAGGCGTAGTGAGTGATTGATTACAAACTCCTCAGGGGGAAAGGGTGTGCAGGACGCCGGTGGCCTCAGCCCTGTGCTACCTGAGCGGTTGTTCAGCAAATGAACTTTGAGCCCCGTCCCGTGGTGCCGCGTGTGTTTTTCAACAGTTTGCTCGTTATTTTATTTTTTTGTGGATTGCTTTATAGTGTGGTGTGCTGTTGCTGTGTGCCACACCCATGTTACAGGGTAAGGGGAAGTTGTCCCTTTGCTTGCACAGTGCATCGCAGAAGTGTGAGCCCCTGAAATGCAGCAAAGGAGGAGGGTGGTTGGCGAGAGGTGGGCAGTCTCGGGCACTCTCCCTGGGAGTGAGTCCCGCAGCCCTGAGCAAGAGCGTATGCGTGGCCAGGAGACAGGCAGAGAACGCCGTGGAAAGGAGGTCCCACCTGTTTGCATGGAACTGTGGAGCTGGGCCCCCACCATCATCAGACTCAGTTTGCGTGGCCTGTAATGGAGAAGGGGGACTTGGACCAACTGACCTGGTCTGTCGGGGAACAGTCCTTAACCCTTTGCGACTGGGACCAAAGACAGACCTGTTGCCCATCTTCCTGTATCTGCATCTGCCCTGTTTGCTGTTGTTGAGCGAGGCCCTCCCATGGGCCGTATTGTTCAAGTCCTTCACTTTCAAATCCAGTGTCATGGCCAGAAATTCCGTGTGTACTAATGAGCACCTCAGTGTTAGAGTCCTCGAGGTAACAGTTAATTTGGTCGGAAGGTATGTGTGGCTCATACGTGGCTGACCGTGGTAGTCCCAGTGTCATCCCTGAATTTGACGAACACTGAGATTCCGTCCCAAGCGGGATGGCCAGGCTCTCACTCTCCCTTTGTCGAAAATCCTTTTGCACATTTCCGCTGTACTTAAAATACCACAAGGAGGCTAGCTTCGGATATGTGAGGTTACCGCTCATGGGCCCAGATCCTCAGTCCCTTTACTTAGAAACAGCCTGTTTGTATGTCTGGAATGGAAACTTGTGTGAAAGGTGAGAACGAGAAAGTAGGATCCTTCATCGCAAGTAGAAGTGAATTTGAACTTAATCTGCCCATATTCAGGTTTATGTATTCTTGCTTTTCTGGTTTCCTTATAAAATATTGTCTTTCCCTTGGCTACTAGTTAGGGGTGTTCTGCTAAGAGATTCCACATCTAATAAATCCAAGGTAAGGAGGACTGCAGCACGTTAGACACTTTGCCCCCCAGTGCGCGGATGCGTTCATCCTCTCAGAATCTCCAGAGCCCCAGCATTTATTAGGAGTTGATTTAATTCCAGCTTTTTAGGTTCAAGAAAAACAATGAAAAACACTTAGCAGTGAAATAAAATTGTGGGAAAAAATGATTTTTCTTAAGGAAACCTGATTCCTAAGCATGGAAATCGAAACCTTTAAATTCCATTTAGTAAAGTTACAGGCTTTGGGGTCCATAATTATGATTTGGATAATTATTGTAAATGTCGCAGCAAGTGATCGAGTTGTAGATTTTTCTTTATCCCGTGAAATGATCATAGATACCGTGACTACATAACTAATCGCTCTTGCATTAGGGCGATCACTCAGTTGACATGAATCTTGCCCACGGTAAACTGATACGGCACCGAACTGATTAAGCCCTTCCTTGCGTTTGAACCGCCCCCTCCCCCACCTGAGGCTTGGTTCAGGGTTTTTATGGTGTATGACAAATGAGCTGTTTACTAATTTTGTGTTGAAGTGAAACAGAAATTTGGATTATTGGAATTTATTATTTGGGGGCATCTGGCTCATCCTTGTTTTTGTTTGTTAAACAGGAAAAGGACCAGCGCAGCCTAGACATAAACACTGCCAAGTGCATGTTGGGACTGTTATTAGGAAAAATCTGGCCCCTTTTTCCAGTTTTTCACCAATTCTTAGAGGTACCAAATTGCTATTTTATGGAATGTATGTTTGCTTGCTTAGAACTACCAAGTCTACTTTATTTAACCATTTCACATAATTTTCTGTTTGTTGTACTTTTCTGCCTATAGGAATGATGGTGACGTAATCGCTGTCTGTGAGCAGTTCCCCGTTTTCCCTGGGGCTGTCTGGGGGGGGCGGGGTGTATGTGCCGCATCACTTCTGGGTGCAGGTGCATTGGAGACGGCCATGGCTCTGTCCTTCCCGCTCTCTTGCCCCCCTTGACCTCCGCTAGGATATCCTGCTCTGCATAACAGCAGTAAAACAAGGTTCACTTTCTTTTGTGGCTGTAGATGAATTTCCACTCTTATGAAGCAAAGGTTCAGAAGCGGCTGTCCACCTTCTTATCATAGGAGTTGGTCCTGTACTGTTCTCTACTCTTTATCTCCAAGAATGCGGGCACCTAGCTCAATCTAAGGGTTAGGCACACTGGCAGCATCTCCCTCAGTTTCCATTTCCTTTGCGTTTGCGTTAGAAAAAATGTCCAGAGCTTGACTCCACCGAGGTTTGCTTGCTCTAAGTGTTCATGATCAAACGTTTTGAGCTGCTGGTTATCGGAGCTGGTTTTGATGCCCTGTGATACTGTAGGACCTGGAAGTAACGGAGACGTAAGTTTCAGCTTCGGGGGTTGTCACAGACGGCATCCTTCTTGTCCTCCAGACCCAGACCCCTTAAAAAGTGCCCTTTGCTTCAAAGGACGAGGGTCCTGGGTCTTTGAGAAAAACTTGGGCCCTACCCTGACTCCAGCTTCATTCTCGCCTTAATCTTTCTTACAGCTCACTTTATGCAGTGATCCAGAAAAACTTTGAGCTGATCTGATTCTTTGAGGACTGTAACTAAAAATTGCTTTTAACGGTCACTAACCAGGACTCCTCAAGACGGGTATAAGATACAGTTTTTACTATAAGAAGTATTTATTGATGTGACAGTCCGTGGCTACAAGTGATCTGTTCTAATTTCTCTGGCCGTCCCATGAAATGTTAGCTTTCTTCGAAAAATGAGTAGAAATAGGTCCTGTTCTCAGAGTAGAGCAGAATTTGAGCCCCGGTGCAAGGAGTTTTGTAGCTGAAAGACCTTGCCGCAAGCCAGTCTGACTTTGCATGGTTCCAGGAGCATCTTCAGCTGTTTCCAAGACCGATATTTGCTTTGAGTTGCTTCAGAAGTTCAACTTGTAGCCTGTGCTTTGTTCCCTCTTTTACATTAGTTGGCTTTTTTTTTTTCTTTTCAAAGGACACAGCGAGCGTTTCTTTTGAGCTTCTCTTGTGTTTGCACCCTCAAAACCGTGGGCTCAGCTCTCTCTGCTCTTCCCCTCCTCGTATTGGTTCCCAGTGTTCCTGACTTTTAGTGGGTAGGATTTAAAAACTGTTGAATCTGAGTTTTAATTTTTCAGTCTTTATACAGGAATTGTGTACTTTGAAAAAAAAAAATACCTATGGCATATTTTTTGTCTGAGTGGAATAGGAGAACTACTTCATGGGTGTTCTGATTTATTACTTTTATGATAAGATTCAAGGTTTGAGTGATTTAGAGCAGTAACTCTCTCCAACAGCTAGAGCACCTAGCTCTGAGACCGCTGCTAGCCCTTCGTCAGTTCCCGGAGAGTAACTTCCTGCTGTGTGTGTACTTGACAGTGAACGTGCTGATCAGGCCAGGGATTATTAATGGGGAGCTCCTCTTTATTTAGCACCTGCTTTCTGCCAAGCACTGAATGAGGTACTTTACATAAATTATCTCTTGTAATTCTTGCAGGATCTCTATGAAGTAGGTTAATGAGGGCTTTGGCAGTCTAGAAATTTCACTTCTAGGGATAAAAATCATGTTTCTTTGATGTGCTTGTCATTTTGTGTTGAGCCCTCATAATATTTTCCTAATGGGAATTGTCATCTTCAGTTCTACTCTTGCTGTCTCTCATCCTTCTCCTAGATTGGTGCTTAACATACCTCAAATGAAAGAGTTAACCTTCGTGAACTTTATTAAGTTGACGCGCACAGCAGTTGAAACCGTGTCATTTGTTCACTGTAAGTGTCAGTAATTCATGTCACTTTTCCCTCCGTCAGCAATCAAAATATAAAGTTATTAACAAAGACCAGTGGTGCAATGTGCTAGAGTTTAGCAGGACAATTAACCTTGACCTCAGCAACTACGACGAAGACGGAGCATGTAAGTACCGGGCACTGGGTGCGCGCTCGTGCTCGCTCGCTCGCTCTCTCTCAGTCTCTCTCTCTCTCTCTCTCTCTCTCTCACACACACACACACCCCAACCCCGCCCCCCCCCCCCCCCCCCCCCCCCCGCCCCATCCATCAGCACACCCTTCTCACTGGGAAGAGCCTTATAGCCCCTTTGTTTTCTCTCTTCAGGGCCAGTGTTGTTGGACGAGTTTGTGGAGTGGTATAAAGACAAACAGATGTCCTAGGACTTTATGCATAGCAGCGAGAGAGTCACTGTTACCACAGATCTGTCAACCATTAGCCATAAATTGCTGTTTGTATCCAAGCGCATGCTGCTTTTCTTGCACTGTCTCCCTTTTGCAGGGACGTTTTGGTGTTTGCTATTGAACGGGCCGGCTCAGCTTGCTGTGTAGCCTCGTCCTCTTGGAAGGCTGCTTTGCAGTTTGTACCTAACACTACAGATTGGTGACTTTGCCAGCGCCCTCACTGTGATGATGTGTATATTGCTGTTTAAATTTTGTATATGTGTATAAAAAGACAAAGCTTCACCTAGAGATTATTTCTGCAAAACTGTATTGTAAAAATAATTTTTGTGGCATATTTCTAGTCCCTTTTTTCAAACGAACCAGTTATACTCTATTTGGTCTCCAGTGTAGCATTTCAGAACACAAGAGAGAACAACCTTTACCATAAGCGAATGTTGCCAGAATTAACCTCATCGTTTAAGAGGCCAACTTGTGGAAAGAGGTGCGAGTCAGACCTTCGCAGAGGCACATGCCAAATATAATTTGGTTTACTTCAATGTGAGTGTTTTTAAATGATGGAAGGTACAATTATTTGAACATCTAGACACGTACCATGCCACAGATGCTTTCCACCACGCAGGGTGTAGGTTTTTATTCTCTGATGTTAGGCCGTAGTAGTTTGAATATAGGTACAAATGAACAAATTAAAATTGCACCTTTTTTAAATGAGTTTGAAACTCTTGTAAACTTCCTTTGCTGTTTTTGTTTTGGGTTTTTTTTGTTTTGGTTTTGGTTTTCCCTTTTGTCTTCTCTTTGTCAGTGTTGGGTCTCCCGATGCTTCCCGTGCCATTCTAGGTAACATTGATTTTGCCTGCTCCGTGGAAACCTGATGGTTTGCTGGCAATTTGTAACCGCAAAGCACCTTTAGTTGTGGTTTAGATTTTTAGTTAAGCTTTCATGGTGTTTAATTTTCTAGTTTTCCTGGAAAAAGAACTATACTATAAGTGAGAGGTGTTTTGTTTCGTTTTCTTTTATGCTAGGCTTTTCCTGGCAGAATGTCCATTGCAGGCAATGGACACGAAACCACCAGCATTGAGCTCATTTTATCACACGGTAGGACCTTTCCTGGAGGGGCCACTTGTCATTCATTACCCGAGTAATTTGTACAGAAAGGTGATAGCCATTATTTATGTGGATGAGGAAACAAGAGTAAACAGGACGGTATTTTTAGGTTTGTATTTTATGTCTGGTTTTTTTTTTTTTTTTTCTTTTTTTTTTTTTTTTTTTTCCCCCTTGCCTTACCCTTCTTGAGGAAATGTATAGATAACCTGTTTCCCCCTCAACTATCTGGTGCTATTGAATGACTAACTTAGTCCCTAAAGTTTTGTGAAAACATAAAAGTCTAATGATTTAAACTGATAAAAAGCTAATGGTGCATTTGGACAGGTGCATGCTATAGGTATGAGCAAGATCCATGATGGAATAATGATTGGAAGAGGTTCGGGTTATCACAAAATCTGGCCAAAAAAAATCTCTTGGACTAAATGTGAACCTTTAAATGGCATTAAATGAGCAAAAGCACACAGACAATGCTACTCCTGACCACTATGTCACAGTTTCTTTGCAAACAGTGTTCAGATTTTCATATTATTTTCTCCCTAACTGAACCACCAAAGACAGAAATTTTGTATGTATATATGGTGTGTGTGCATATACAAAATCATGATGCGGTAGAATGAAATCACTCCCTTTTTCTACCAAAAAGAAAGGTTTGGTTTGCTGTGAAATAAACCAGAAGTGTGAAAAACTCTGTAATGATTAAGCAGACTTCATCATTCCTTGCTTAGGAATGGTAGACTCGTCTCTCTACCTTACAACCTCATACCAGTTTGCACAAGTTAATAACCGAAGAGAAGAGAAGGTGTTGACGCAAGCACAGCCCTTGGGACCAATCTGTTCCATCCCAGCAGGTGCCTGGTGTTCGAGGCGATGGGCCAGAGGCAGGTGTGAATTTGTGAAGAACTCGATTCATTTTCAGAAGTATCCCGCAAAGTTAAAAAAAAAATAATAATAAATCACACTTTAAAGGCAACAGTTCTTAGATTCGATCTGCTGTAGTGTTGTTTAAACAAGTAGAAGTCATAGATGAAATTATTTTCAGAGTTATGGTTAGTACTGGAGAATGTTCGGGAACACTAAGCACAGCTAATCCTAACATAAGAGGATGGTTACGGGGAGATGGTCCATTTCAGCCGCTGTGAACATTTTGATGATCGGGGGGAAAAACCCAAGGGAAAACTATTCGTGATCTGGAATATGGAAAGTAAGTATTCCCAAGCAGTGACGATCTCGTACATTTAGAAGACTCCAAATGGTTTTCGAGCTCCCTTGAAAAAGAAGCCTCTGTGCCTGTGGACTGCTTGCCCTTGGCTCTTGATTTTATGCAGTTATTTTTAGGGAGACGAAAAGGGGCCAAACGAGTAACAAGATGCTTTTCTTTTAAAAAATGTCCCTAAGTTACATAAAATTGAGCAGTCATCAGACACTTAACTTACTGGCTAATGTTCAAGAAATTAGGGTGCCTTCTTCTGGTTTTTCTTTCTTACCTGTCTACACCCTTTCTCTCTTCCCACGGTGTCTTGAACTACACATTGCAATACTCCATCGTCATGATACAACTTTGCGGTGTTTACTGGTAGGTCAGAAATTTCACGATTGGATTTGCCATAAACACCCACTATAATGTTACATGCAGCCTTTTCAAAGCATGAACTCTGAATTAAGTTTTTACAAATCCGACTAGACAAGCCTCTAACCTTCTCTTTTAACAACACACATCTGTTGCCTGTCCGTCTCCATTTTAACAGTGCTTTTGAAGTTTATACGGAAAGCTTTCCGAGTTAGTGTGTGCCCTTGGTTTTTATTCTTACAACTGCTAAAATACCTCTGTAAGCCTTATCTTTTATTCTTTCATATGTTGTATAATAAATGTATAAAATTCATTGACCAACTAAGTGTTGGGTGTCTGTAAATGAGACCAAAACGTGGGTTGCTTTTCATCCTAAGGCCTTTCCCTGGGGGGTTACTGTTAAACGGACGGCAGCCAGCCTGTGACTGTGAACGCTTTGTGTGGTCAGTGTCTGCATTCCGCCCATAGACGCGTGCAAGTTCTGTGACTCCAGCTTAACTGAAACCCTGTTCTGCCACCTAACTTGAGTACAGCAAACTGGTTTTAGGTTTTAATGGAATTGATGTAAAATGATATCCCATAAATAAAAAGTATTTGTGTTTGGTTTCAGAACCGATTCGTGAGTTCTTTCTTCTCTTCTTGGGATTTTGCTTCAAAAACCACGTAAGGTAGTTTTAAAGTATTTTCTCTTTTACTTTTTGGTACCCCCCCCCACCACCGAACTCTTTATACCGAAGAATCAAAGCTACAGAAAAAAAATTCAAGAAATATAATGAACTTCAACCCATCCATATACCTATCACCTAGATTTTCTGCTTGTCAACGTTTTGCCACCTTTTCTGTGGCATTCTGAGTATGTGTGTGTGTGTGTGTGTGTGTGTGTCTGTACATACGTACACTTCTCTCTGTGGATAGATACACTTTTCTTCCTGAACCAAGAGTAAATTACATTATGATGCTTTATACCTAGTATTTTGAAACAAGGACAGTTTAAGAACCATGATACAATGATCACACTCAAGAAATTTCACATTGATACAGTTCTATAACCTAATAAACAGTCTAGATTAAAATCTCTCTCTTCATACCAATATTGGCCTTGATAACAATTTTATTCATAATCCGGGGAAAAGCACCATACGTAGCTGTCCTGCCTCTCTCTAGTCTCTTAATCTGGAACAGTTCCAGGTACAGTACAAACCCTCAGCCAGACAGTGAATTAAAAAGATATGCAACCATACGCTGTGGATTTCTAAAACTCTGAGCTAATAATTGAGTGCTTGGAAAATGCCAGAGCCAGGCAGAAGTGCCCACTTCACTGCCTCTGGTACTACTGTCCAATTAGTCTCTAGCAAGCATCAGCCCCGCTTACCACTCTGAACTTGTCTGATGGTGGAGTATCAGCTCGCCGATGGCAGGACCTCTGGCACAGCACAGGTGCCCCGAAAATGCACGTAGAAGGAAGCAAGTCACAAGACCGTGCAGGGCAGAAAATCGTGAGGACCTAAGAAACTTCATGTAAAGATCAGAGAACCCACAAGGACCGACCCAGACTTTTTAAGACTCCCAGGAGCTTGAAGGCAAGACAGGAGGTAGAAGACAAGGTTCCTAAAACACAGAATCTCCAGGTACACCATTTTAAATTGGTGACGCAGATGGGCTTTCCGCTATCATTTGGACCGAAGCTGGGCTCAACTCTGGAAAATCCTCTTGCAGACGCCTACAGAGACAGTTGGTGGAGATGAAGGAAAAGCTTCATTCTATATGGACTGCAAGCACTGGGAGAGGGCCAGCGGTAGGACGGGCCCAACCTGGGCCACAGGGAACAGCAGAAAGTCACGAGGCACTTTGTGCAACCCTACAAAGCAGGAACACGAGGTGGGTTTCTCTGGGCAATACTAGTCCGCATAAAAACCCCAGTCCTTGAAATGAAGTTCTCCAGCAATGTAATGAGCAGGATGCTCCGGGGAGGGAATAGATGACTAATGCCTGCTCCACACACACGCGCACGCACACACACATGCACACACCCAGCTTGAGCTGCATTGCCACAGACCTATGAAAGCAAGAGGTTACAGGATGGTTGCTCCAACGGAAGCACATTTTTTAAAAAAGATTTTATTTATTTATTTGACAACATAAGTAGGCAGAGAGAGGGTGGGGGGAAGCAGGCTCCCTGCTGAGCAGAGAGCTGGATTCGGGGCTGGATCCCAGGACCTTGAGATCATGACCTGAGCCAAAGGCAGAGGCTTAACCCACTGAGCCACCCAGGCGCCCCTGGAAGCACATTTTTAAAGACAGCTCTTTGAAATAATGGGACAAAGAGGCACAGTGAACGGAAAATGGAAAACATTACCTGCAGGAAAAGATGGAAGATCAGGGACTCCACCCCAGAGCTAGAGGGGTGAGAAGGAGAGGGAGCTCCTGGACAGCACCTTTCTTGATTCGTCTGAACCCACAGGGAGGCAGGAGGACGTGCTCCCCATGGAGCAACACACATCCCCCCTTTTGACTCGCCTGAACCTTCTCCCCATATCTTTGTGTGAAGAAGAACTTCCAGGTAGAAGATGAGAGAGAAGCTTCTGTGATCCCTTTAGAGAAGAATTACCCATGGAACCTAGTGACAGCTTGGAAGGGGAAAAACCTAACGCGTGCGGAAATGATACAAGAGCTTCCTGGCCCTGTTTACTAGCCTAAGCCCTTGGGGCAGAAGGGAATCCCAAACAGAGCACGCTCACTGCTCTTGGCACATTCAGCAGCAGACAGTTGGGTTTATTTCCCCCCAGAATCTGTTCGTAACATTTATCTTTAATTGCCGTAACAAAACCCAAAACCGTCCCCTGTGTACAAGTCCTTGTTCAGAAATTATAGTGAGTAAGTGGGCTATGCTGACAATAATAATTGGAAACTGAGAACAAATTGTCTACAGTAATTAAATGGAAATTTTTTAAAAACATCATTTAAAATGTAATCTCTTCTGAGGAAATGTATTCAGTCCTTTGGAAATAACGCCTTTGCAATCACTCTCTGAAGCATGTG